CTCTTCGTTTGCTCACCGGCGAAGCGATGCGTAAATCATATTTTTAAAACTGTAAAACTCCCGAAAATATCTTCTCTCTGTTTATCTAAATGATTATCTTATTTCTTTTATGAGTATTTAATTTTTTATTTATTTTATTTACATTTTCTTGATAAATACAATATTAATTTGTTAAAAAGGAATTTAATTTCTCGATTTGAAACTAAGTAAAAAATAAAACATTTTTTAATTTTCTATAAATTTCTAACTAGCCTATCATAAGAAAAAGCAAGAAAATGAAACGAAATGTTTTTTGTATTTGCTCCTTTTGAGCTTTCTTTTATTATTTAATTTTGCTTTCATAAAGTGAGGAATCAATTTATATTTGTATTAAGAAAATGAAAAAAATATTAATTTTTTTATTGTACCTATTTTTATAGTAACATAAAGAAAGTCTACTGTATAAGTAATAAATGAAAGTATTTGAATAATGTTACATGGAAAGAATGATTTTGCTGAAGTAGATATCTAAAAATTCAGCTAGGATACAGATCTGAAATTAATTTTATTTTCAAATGTCAAAATAATTACGTGAAGATCTGTATTTAGCTAAATTTTTAGATACTTTAACAAAATTGTTCTTTCTATGTAAAATGAAAAAGTAAAAAGCAAGGATTGCACCGCGTGACATATAGATTGTTCAATACGATTCCTTTTCTCGCGATCGACGTTACCCATTTTCCTGGCATCAGGGCTGCAAGATCGATTCTCATTCCAATGGCGTAATATTCGTCAGGCACGAGAGAATTGGCGGTCGCGTTACACGGCACAGTGCCGGCTTTCGTTTACGCGAAAACTAGCTGCCCCTCGACTCATTTTCAGTACTCAGGTAGTGGGGGAACCGGAGGATACTCGAAAAGTTTAAGGCTCGTAATAAATGGCTCTCGGCTCCCCTCGTCCGTCGGAGCCCGGCGCGCCCGGATATCATTAATTAACAGTAATTAACGCGCGCGCTGGCCCCTCTCGACGAAGTTTCCGCCGGCAGTCGCGCGTCTTGTCGATGAGGGATGAAATCCGCACGCGAACTGTTCCGACGAGTTCGGTGAGCTATGTATCGAGGATTATATCGTCGATGAATCCAAGTCATAACGGCTGAAACCGGGATACATATTTCTTCTTAACATCCGGTATAATATCGTACACGTTCAGTTAAAATAACGTGTCATATTTCAAGAATCTGACGCGAGACGAATTATCAAAGTCGTAGGGAAATTATTATAAATGTATACGTGAAAGTTTACTTAAACATAAAAATACCTTTCACGCTCGATCAATGTCAACGAGAAATAATGGACACGGAAAGTAGGTAGATCGTCCTGTTAAAGTAAACTAAACAAACAGATGGTATTCTGAATGTCGACAAGATTGGACATCATTGATTAGCAATAATGCAATATGGGACATTAATTTTCATTAACTATCGGATATCGAACTTTGTTACCATGTTATGCGGCCGTCGGATATTCTCGAAGGAGTCTACACCGCATCGATTTTCCCTTGAGAGATCCAGTGTCCTCAATAAGGAGATAACAGCAAGTTTGGAGAGACTTGCGAGTTGTATGTCAAACGAAAATAAATTACAATACATAATTACCATCAACACTGTTAAACGTATGACGTTAAATTATAACACAATTTAAGTTATTTTTAATCATTTTTATAGGACGCCTCTACTTCTATTTTAAAAAATTGTTGGTATTTTAATTAATACAATGAAGTTAAATAATTAATTCAAGAAATTGTATTAAATTAATTGATTCAAATTTAGTTTATTATTTATTAGCTGTCTCTCAGTGCATTAATATAGACATTGTTTATTTTAAAACTACATATTATACACAAATGGATTAAATAAAATGCTATTTAACTCAAGAGATCGGGACTCTATTGTTCCATTTGATATCTACTAATGAATACTGCGATTTATATTAACTATATTTTTTTATTGTAAATTAAAAAAAATTTATATTATTGCGACATCATCTTGTTAATGTAAATTAAATTAACTTATTTTTAATAATTAAAACACACGCAAAAAATTTTTTGTTTTCTTAAAAGATCGTTCAATATATTTCTTTTATATCGAGATTTGAAAAGCGCGTCAAATACTTCTCTCTTTCGTAGAAAATTTTTCCACATTTTAAGTAATTTATATTAACGAAGTTCATTAAAACGTAACAAGCTGGTTTCTAGGTGAAGATTGAATTAATTTTAAATAATTTGCTGCTATGTAATAAATTCTAAATTCATCTTCCTCACTTTTAAACTCATCTACGAAAGAATCGTGAAATGCGCATCGTCGATAATGTATTTCGAATTGTTATTGCGTGACTCGAACGATATATTTATCGTTGCGATGCAGAAAGAAAATGCACGACGTTGTACATTTCGTGTAATATTCCTCGCAATTTTTACGTCCTTCTTGCGGCATTACCGAGAAAGGAAATTCGCGAACGAGAGTCTCGCCAATTGGTGAACGCCCAATCCTGCGCGACGACGTAACGATTCTTGTGAATTTTATCGTCGTAACTGCTCTTTGAACTCGTGCAAATGCTTCTCTAGAACGAGGCTAGATATCGTAACATAGTATTTCACTTGTCTGCAAATTTTCACTGCAACGTAATTTATGCCGCCGTAATAGCCGTTGTTCCGATAAGGGGGTCACATCTTCAGGTCAAGGAAAATGAACGACGAAACTTTTTTTTCGAAAAAGCAGGGAATACACCAACGTAGTCGGTCGTAAACAGCTTACAAAGTCGAGCAACCGTACAATTCTTTTAGAGACTATCATTCTCAGAAGAAGACAGAACCTACGATTAAGATACGAGAAAAATAATGGAATTGTGTGTAAATAAAAAGGATTGAATTAAATTATCATTTAGAAAAACGGAAGAGAAATGAGAGATAAATATAATGCTTAGTGTAGTGCACAGAAAAGAAAAGTAGAAGAATTCTGCTTTAAAATAATTGATGCTAAAATATTACAAAGTAACAGGAACGTTACAATTTATTTTATAATTTATTTTGACATCTCTATGTAATACTCGTTCAACATTAATTTATCTGAATTCTTCGTTCATTGTCTGATAAAGAAAATTTAGGCTATTTTATATATCTTCTATATAGATCGTTTATGCGATTGAAATCTGTGAAGACTTGCATGATGTAAGAATACAAAGTATTTCGCTCCTGAAAAATGCACAGACAATGACTAATTACAAAAAAGTCCAAATTGTTATAAACCAACATATAATCGCTATTAGAAATTTACCATTTATAAGAAATTTTACTGTAAAATTATACTTGACCGCCATTGCGCAATAAAACGTCTTGTACTCTTCTTAGACTGCAGCACACGATGCATGTTTTCCTGCTGGACTGCTTATATTTTAGTACCTAAACTGCTAGAAATTCTGCATTTTATGTGTGACTATTTTACTCTCTAAAACTTTTATAGTGAATTGTCACTGTGAAAGTCAACTTTTTTTTCAAGATTGACTCAATTTTTATTCTTTAGAGTGAGACTCCACTTCAAAGAACTTAGAGAATAGTAATTTACTAAAACGCAAGTAATCCAGCAGGAAAAAAAGCATCATGTGCAGCAGATTTTATACGGTGCGGTGTACATTTGTGGATCGTCGCGTTAATGAACGCAACAAAAGAGAAAGAGAGAGACCTTAAGGGAAAACGAAGGGAAAGGAGAGAGAGAGAGAGAGAGAGAGGGGGGGGGGTCTCGGGAAGCAACGAGAGAGTGTTTCACCTGGTAAACGTGACCGTGTGAGGCCGCGATCGCCGTTAAGCCGATTTACGGGCGCACGTGCGAGAATTCCACGAGCGCAACGGGACGGATAATGACGTTAAGAGGATCCATAAGAGCTTCCGCACTCACGTGTCGTGTGTGTGAGATCTTCTCATGTTCGTTTTCGTCTTCGCGTTGCTGAGATACATCATGTTCGCGTGCGTCGTGCCGCTTCGCGCCGCGCCGTTACGCGCTGGCGACACGCTTCGAATCACATCGCGAGATGTGATCCACATGAAATAACGAACCAATGAATTTTTCGTGATAATCTATAATCTAATATCTGAGCTGAAATTTGGTTGTGTTCAGAAAACTATAAGCGGTGTCAATTTGTGGTGATTATTTTAATAACGAGGTGCTAATTCTGTGTGTACTTCTTCTTTTCGCCTCAACGTCGTATTGTACATAAATTTTAATTTGTAAAACTTACTTTAGAACATCTATAATTTATCCTTTTTTGTGTTCTCATAAAGAAGCCAATACGCGTCATACGACTCTTTTGGTCAGTCGATAAAGAAACTTATACAAATATATAGGTTGAACGAATCGTGAACTGATGTCATCTTTCTGGATTAGTTACTAAAGAAATTTTCGATATAAGTCGTGCGATCGAGATGATGCATCGCCAGGACGTACGCATATATCATTCCATATATATACATATATGTTACATTCTAATTAATTAAATTTATTCTATACAATTCTTCAATTATTTTACCTCTTACATGATATATAATATTACTATAAATAGAATATCATAAATTCTAATACAAATTATAAATCATCTAAAACGAGGTTATAAAAAATCAATAAGATATTTTATATATTAAATATACTATTCTTGAAAATAATTCAAATTAGGTATTTCTCAAAAGACTAAGTCACTATGGTACTCTGATATTTCTCGTAGAATATTGGAAAAACATTATATAAATTAATAATGGTATCGATGAACACATTATTCATGGCTGACAAGAATCAGTAGAAATATTCTCACGCAATAATCAATATACATTCTTAACATTTTATGTATAATTCCGAAAAAAATATTTATATAAATAATTAGAAAAAGATATAAAAAGAGTCATAAAGGACGATTAATCACACGTCTACAGTTACGAGTTTAAAGGAATCCTTTTAAAGTTGTATGGATCTGTTTCAGTTATTTGGAGATATATAACGAGAGAGTGAGGGATCTCCTGAAGCCGTCAACGAGCACGAGCGGTCTCAGACTTCGAGAACATCCTCGACTAGGACCTTACGTTCAAGGTACTCCGCTCGTTTACTGTGAAACGTCGCGTACCGAGGACGTCGGCTAAAATTCCTCGAGAGTCTTCTTACTTCAGTGTGTACCTAAGTCTGCGCTATTTAAATCTTCCCCTAATTTTCGCTCTGCAACCATCTTTCCCCATCACGTTATTGTGTTTCTTTCATTCTGTATTATTATAGTCCAATATAAAAATAAATAAATACGGTAGGTATATTAAATATGTTAATAAATATCGCAATATATTATTAATTTCATGAATAATGTTTGTAACTTTATTTTGAAATTATTCTTTTAATGTGAGATATACTAGAAAATTTGAATTATACATTTATTAAATTAAAAGTTTAATATGCCACTATCGTTCCCTATATACAAATAAATGTATTTCGACTTCTTAAGCTCTCTAATTTTAAGTCATTGCGTACTTGCATCCTTGAGCTTTCGATCGATTTAACTATTCCCAGATTACAAAATCCTTGAATGAATTGATTCTCAAATCCTGTCATCTTCGAATTTCAGAGTGCTAATGTAACATTTAAATCCTTGGATTTTCAATTTTTCATATGACACATTTTTCATCTCGAATGTAATCATTTTTCAAAAATTTCTGCATCGATTCATGTTAATCTATCTCACCATCATAATCTACTTCGACAATCATACTTAACCGATAGATCTCACTATCGTGATACGAATTAATGTTTCGTCATCAAGAATTCTCTCGACTTTCTTTGATCAAACGATCTTTATTTGTTTTAGGTTTAACGCACCATGTGGTTTGCACCCTGGGGTCGTTGATATCATACGTGGAGGAGGGCACAAAGGCCAGAAAGACAGCCTCGACACTTCAGAATCCCAGTAGCAGCCGTAGCCACGCTCTGCTGACCGTCGATCTCTCGCAGGAGACAGCCGACGCCGAACGTCCCAACAGCAGTGGTACTTCCTTGTCCTCTAGGAGGCAGGACGCCACTCCGCACGGCGGTAGCAGGTTACACCTAGTCGATCTGGCGGGCAGCGAGAGCGCGGCCACCTGCAGCGGCGTTCATCGACTGAAGGTGAGTCATTTCCTAAAAATAATATCGTCCGCCGGAATATTCGCCGGTTGAATTTCGCGCGATGAAAATCGATATTCGTCCGTTTCGCGGATGGATAGAGCCCCGTTATCAATCTCGTCCTGGCCGCCGCGTCGCGCGCTAATAGACTCGCCTAATCGACCGTCGGAGTTACTCGCGAAAGTAACAAGCGTGAAAGACGAGCGCGTTGGTGTGAATCTAAAATTATTTTTTTATCGAAACGTTTTTATATTGACAAACTGAAAAACTACTTAAATTTGTAATTATTATATAAGTGTTTAATAAAAGAGGCTTTATGTGCATCAGTGATTCCTAACATCTATCTCCATTTTCATTCTTGAGTGATAAATACATATCGGATGAAAATGAATTTATTTTTGACATGAATTTAGTATATTAGGTGAAAAGTATTGTGTAGATAAGACACAAAATGTGTTCTATGAATTAATGTACGTGCAATGGTGTCTTTACTGTGATTGATCGATATTGATATGATCATGCCTTCTATAACGAGACGGAAAGAATCATCACGACGTAGCAAAAATTTAGGAATCATCGCTAATAGTGTTTCACGTATGAAAGTTAAAGTATGTGTTCTAAAAATTCTTATGTTAAACTAACAAGTTTCATAAGTATATACACTTATTGATAAATTTGCATTATCAATTAAAAAATATACAGGACATAATCACACTGATTGTCATAATATTTACTTCGATAGCATATTGAAATCAGATAATATTGAAAAAGATTATATCGATATTAAAATTTTTTTTAGGAAACTAAAGGTATTAAATTAAATTATGTATATTCAATAAAAGTATCCAAAATAAGCCTAATAATTTTAACATTACTTTTGCATTTTGTTGTTGTTTATAGGAAGGTGCGAATATCAACAAGAGCCTAGTGGCTTTAGGAAACGTGATATCCGCACTCGCCGAGAGAGGCTCAACCGGAAGTAGGCCAGGAAGAAGATACATCCCTTACAGAGACTCTTCGCTCACTTGGCTGCTGAAGGATGCACTCGGCGGAAATGCCACCACCATTATGCTCGCCAGTAAGTGTCTGCAGGTATTTTCCTTTTGATCTTTCCTTTGCCGTCTTCCTAAACTCGTATTCACTTCCTTTTTCAGTCTTCGCGCAATCTTAGAATGTTCCATTGATGTTAAAAGGTTTCCTTCCGGGAATATTCTGCTTGTGCAAATCGCGTTTCGCCGTGTGTATTTTCGTGAGGAAATTATAAGTTCGCTTTTCCCCTCTTTTGATCTCGAACCCTCCATTTTAATATCCTTTCTGTTGCCAGAATGACGCATCGTTCTCGCGCGCAGATTGAAATCCAACGACTAATTCGACATTGCTTAATTGGCCCTTTTAGTACGAAACTTTCGCGTTAAAAGGGTAAATTACAATCGGCTGTTGTTAATTGATTGATTTACTTCACGTTCTTTTGCGCTTTTTCTCGTAAAAAGATTGTTTAACTCATTTCAGACATTTTCCTCCAAATTCAGATGTTTTCCTTTCACGATCGTTGGATTACGAAAAGCCGGCTATTTCTTTCCTTTCTTTGCAACGGCAATTTCTCATTTTCCCATAAATTCCACTAGTTATTGGAGAAGAAATATTATCGCGAGATTTGTGAAATTATTCCCATTCGCGATAACCCGGGCTGGATGTAATTGGTTTAAATGCTTTTCCAGGCGAGCTAAGACGCGGAGATTAAATTTCAATAGAGCCGAGATAGAGAGACGCGAAAAGCGGTAAATAAGAAATCTGTAGTGAGCTTGCGACAGTAGCTACGTGATCGATCCATCGCCAGTATTCTTCTCGCCAGTATATGGTAGTCGTTATCGAATATGATTTAACACTTTTAATAATATATGAAAATTAATGCTTTATATATATATATATATATATATATATATATATATATAGATATATATATTTATATAATCGGTTATAGCATAATGCGATTATAATATTATATAATCTCACTTATACAGATTTAATAAAAAATTATTTTAAAAGCTAATATAAACAAATTAAATTATAATATGAACGCTAGTAATCATCATTCGCACAAAATGTTTTTGAATCATTAACTAATTAAACAATTAATTCAATTATGGAATAATACTTAAAAATATTCGAATTTTTATGTACAGTTTAGTTAATGCATTTTTAATAATATTGTTAAGAGCTTTGTAGAAGGCATGTCAGAAATATTTAGGAAATTAATTCGACTTCTTTAGAGTAAACTGTGACGGATTTATCTAAGCATCGTAGCGTCGTCACCTTTTAGAAAGGTTTCGCCTGGTTATATTCGACTATCTTTGATTGTATTAATTTGCACGACAGTTTCTCCTGAGGGAATAAATGTTATGCGAACTGAACAAAATATTGAGAAGATTATAGTAAATGACAATTAAATTGCCAATTTAGAACAGGGAAACGCTATTTTCCTGTAGAAACCTATCGTAGTTAGAAAAAGCACGTAGAAAAGATTGCGTTACACAGTACTAATGATAAATCCTTATTCGAGCCATATTTTTTCCGAACCAAAATTAATCTTTCTCTTAGATTAAAATCAAATCGGATTCACATTTAAAAAATAACAATAAAATACATATAAACGAAATAATAACGATAAAATACATAATTTACGGATCTCTACTTTGGAGACGGATATAGAGTTAACGATTGATATTTTCTTGGTTCCTTTTTAAATTGAATTTGTGATACAATTGTGCATTAAAAAATGTAATTTTTAAGATACGCTATCGTATTTGAGATCATTGGTCTCGAAAAGGAAGGCAAAATCTATAAGTTCAATTTAACTGTTTACTTTGATTCATTGATCGTCGCGATATTTTTATCTCTTCTATCATTCCGTGATAGACCAACGAAACTGTCGTAATTGAATCGACGGCAAAAGAGACGTTAATCAAGAGAAGGCGCGTCGATCTTCCCTCTTTCGACTCGTCACAATTAATTGCCGAAATGGAAGAGTCGATTGCACGATCCGTATAATTGGCCGGGAAACAACGGAGAGTTTTGCAAATACTTCTAGCCGGCCCGGCGACGTGTATAATTAATCGTAGCGGAATATTCCAAACCGCTGATCATCGGCAATTAATTGAATTGCTAATAGCATTTCGGTTTATTATCAGGGAGACGTTTAATATTCAACGGGTCCGCATTTGTGATTGAGCGTATAGTGCGTAGATGAATAGATATTACATTATCTCACGGACTGCATACTCCGTCGCCGTGAGATGGTGGATTTTATACGTCGATTCCGCAGTACGACGTCCAGAAAAGTTGCCGTCCGCTTGAAAATTCATTTCGGATTATCGAGCTCTCGGTGAGCCGTGAGTTATTTCCGGTTGACTTGTCTACGCGGAGTTTCATTCCGTACATTTCCTCTCGATTAATTTTCGACAGACGCCCGCTGTTGGAAGTATCTGATTATCTGTATGTCTATGGATTTATGAGTGCGATGAATATCTTACATAGATCTGTTTCCAAAGAGCAAACAATACTGAAAAAAAGAGTTTGCTGAAAACTAGCTATCAAATGTTTAATGAAATAATACCAATTTTTTTAATTAATATGACTAATAATAATTATCGTTATTGGCTGTATTAATTAAATATTTAATTGGTATTGTTTCACTAAATATTTGGTAAAATACTTACTATAAATATTTAGGAAAATAAAATAAGTTATATTTAATTGTATTACATTTAATTGTAAAAGTATTACTTCACATTTACTAAATATTTTATAAATATTATCAGTGGAATATATACGTATTTCTATTATAGTAGGTTGAAAATGCACGTGACATTCTCTTTAGTGAACGGAAAATATTTCGGACGGTCTTAGAACCGTCTTCGAATAGATAAATAGTATTTTGCGATGTTTCGCAATAGGCACTTTTAGTAGATATTACTCATGAAGCAATCTTTCATTATCGATATCTAATCGCTGATGTACGATGTACTTAGAATGCAAATATGCCGCAGCCGCTAGTATTAATCAGGAAATCGCACCGTAACGAATAAATTGTAGTTGGAACGAATAAGTTGTAGTTGGAACGTCTAATAATTTTATCATGTATTCTCGATGTTAATTCAAACTTGTTGTTTCTTTCAGCGATATCTCCGGCCAGCGGAAGTTACAACGAGACCGCGCACACTCTACGATTTGCGCAGAGGGCGCAGAGTGTGGTCAATCGACCAGTGGTCAACGAGGATCCCGTGGAGAGAATTATCCGCGAACTAAGGGCTGAAGTCGCCAGACTGAAATCTTTATTATTGGAAAAGGCAAGGAGCTTACGGACATTTTACTTATAAACGTTACAAAACAACACAAATACGAAATATTTTTTTACTCTAAATTTCTACAGATTTTGTGCGAAAAACTATCAAAAGGACGAGATGCTATAAATTAAGAAGTTATAAATTGAGAAATAGACATTCGCCTAGAAAAAATTAAGAAATATGAAAATATTCTCACTATCGCCTATATTCGTGGAAAAATATTAGCTTTTGAACAATTAGGAGTAATCATGTACAATTTGACAACATAATATAAAGATTTTTTAATATACAATACTAATGTAATATTTCGATAAAATACCAATTTGCACGTTTTTTACACACGATTATTTTACAAATATATCTCTTGATTCTTTTTTTTTTATAAATTATCTGTAAAAGTGTTATTTTAATCGAATAAAACCACTTTCTCGTTTGTCTTTTGACGCGGCTGAAATGAAAAATCGAGCTTGGCGGAAGCGAGGCTGAAAACGCGAAAGGATTTAATCCTCGGCCTGATGTTGATCGAGCGACTTTATAACGTGGCCGGAGATTCGCATGCTGCCGGCGGAAAATATTAATGAGTTTCGAGCAGCGCGCGATCGGTAATAACGCAGCATTATAAAACAAATTTCGCAATTTTGCTCGATGTAGAACGCGCGGATCCGCGATAAATAGCAGTCGATTTTTCAGTCGCGTTTTAACTCGTGCGCGAGAGGGTATGCGAGTTTATTATCGGGGTTTACCAATACGAGCAGTGCCGCGATATTGTTCGATGTCATTACGCAAATGAGATTCATTGATCGTTTATTTGACACTTATTGAGCGCCCATTGCGAGCGATTGGCCGAACGATTGCTGATAAAATATAGCACGCCGATGTGTTACGCTTAACGAGCGAACAGCGTTTCCATTTCCATCAGGTAGTTTCCATCCTTCATTTCCGCACGTTGCATAATCGCCGATTAATTAAATTCCTCATACTTCGTCCACAATCGCAACTTCGTCGACTATCCACGAGCTTCCGCGTCGTGTTTTAAATCCGAGATAAAATATTATTCATGGATAATAATAATTTCTTTTGAAAGAATATGTCATAATTGCGATGTATATTGGAAATGGAAATATTGAAACAAAATCAAATGCTCCTCTTTTTCGTCGAATGTAGAAAGCAATTATCAATTCAAGTTAATATGATTTAAATATTTAATTTTAAGCATCAATTTAAATATTAATTAATTATTTTTAATCATATATTTTATAATTTTATTAAGAGTAAAAGTTACTGCAAATTTTTATATATGTATCGTAAAAAATTAAAAAAATATATGAGAAAAAAATTGAAGAGATTATCTAGAATCTAAAAATATTCATGGAAAAAGCGTATAATTTAAAGTATGCATAATATCACGAAAAATTCCCATACAGAAGCTCACACAGCAACATATTGCTGCAACGTTGTAATATTACTGAAATATTACTACGTTAGGAATATTGCTGTAATTATCTGTGTTGTATGGGTTAGGACTATACAGCTTAATATAAAACATATATGTATATCGTTATTTCAATATATTACAATATATATTATATTCATTCTCAGTTTAAACTAAAACTAGTATACGAATCTTATTGCAGGATATCGACCAGACTAAAGCGCCGTGTTGCTGCAGCAAAGTTCAAAGTTCAAAGAATTCCGCGACGGATCCTCAGTATCGTCAAGAACACGAATCGATCAACACCTCGCAATTCGAGGAATCCAATCATAAAAACAGAACTGTACAATCTAAAGATAATAGAAATCTCGATACACTTCCGATAAGAAGATATAATTCCAGTGATAGTGTGACGGCTTATGAGACGAGTTCTTCGGGATCTATCAGAAAATTCAACTCCTACGAGCATCTACAACTTCCGCATCGCTTCAATTATAATCAGGCCAAAATTACTGAGTTAAACGATGAGGACGACGAAGTGGTGGACGAGATTAACGAACCTGTCTTTGTGGATATACCAACGCTGGTGGCTGTGCTAATCAAGCCAGACAACAGCTTACAAGAATCGTCTACACAAATCGAAGAAATTTGTTCCGACGAAGTTCAAGAAGATTCGATCGATGCCGATTTTATAGAAGGTAGCAACGAGGATTTCGAGGGATCGGAAAGAATCGACGACGTCGATCCTGATGATCGCAGCAGTTCAGCGAATTCGTGCATCTTGAAAGACTCGGAGATCGTTGATCTTCATCAGATTACCTCAGGATGTTCTTCACCAAGTCCGATTGGAAGAAGCAAACCGAGAGGTAAGTTCAGTAAGCAAAATTCGATCGATTTATCATCGTCCAACTTGAACGTCTCGAAGAAGTTTGGCTCTATCGACGGGATTAGCAAGAAGAAAGAACCAATTTTTGGTGTACAACGATCGCACACAAACATAGAGAAACGCTCGACGTTATCCGAACGTGGGAAGAAGCTCAATAATATCCGCGAGATCGATGATCGTAAAGCGAATGTTAAGTCGAGTAACATTTGGAGAGCGATCGGTAATAAAGATCATCTGCAGAGGAAGAGTAGCAACGAGTCCGATAAGAGTTTGAAGGACTCCATCAGTGGCAGAACAGGTAGCTATAACAGTATCGGTAGAAAATCGAGTTTGGAGAGCTTGAAGAGAAAAACTAGCAAAGACAGTAGCTCAAGTAGCTCTAAAGACGAACAGATCTCGATCTCGAGTTTGACGCGTGACAAGATAGCGCGCAGAAAGAGCTCCTTGGATCAAGAAGCAGCAGCAGCAGCGGCGGGCGGTTTAAAGCATCACACAGCCATTCAGAAAGTAAAACGTGCCGAAATTGTGGCAGCCGTCACAGAAAGACTCTATTCCAGCAGAAAGCATATAGAAGAGACTAATATGGCGAGCAACAACGCGTCGGGTATACGTTCACCGCCGGAGGGTATCGATGTGAAAATGCCAAATAGTCTCATAGCGCGATCGAGACTCCAGGAGATTTCGCGAAAGATGCTGTTAAAACGACGAAAGATCAATGTTGATACCCAGACGGAAACGGCATCGACACTGCGCTTCAAGGATACAGCGTGTCTTACGGATCAGCCTAAAGTGGTTCTTCAAGACGCTGCGGTTCTCACGGATGATCACGCGGACGGAGATGTCGCGATAGTTGCGATGGATCGCCGATTACCTGTTCTTAGAGTAAAGGACATGGCAACGTTGACGGATCGACGACCGCCAACCAGCATCTTCCGTTGTAAGGATGCCGAGAGCTTGGCGACTGACCTGGACTTCGACGATTACGAACTTCACTCACCGCGAAATGATTCTGGAATACTTTCCGACGACGCGCAGAATTACGCCGAGAGTAATCTATCTAGCGCTGATGTGTCTGACCTTTATCCGGAAAGTGGTGACAAAAGAGTATCATGCGTGGATAATTCGACCAACACGTTCCTCGCGTCGTCGGGAAGGAATTCGGCGGTGCAAACGGCAGTGCGACGTTTAGAAGCAGCGAATCGGTTAAAAGATAATTCGGAGAATAGAAGCTACAGCGGATGCTGTAGTTTGATTCACGAACTTAGTCAACAAGCACGAACAAATAGTCCCGAGAAGAACGTTATTTCTATATCATTACCAGAAATGATTAGTATAACTATCGAAAGCACAAACGGTCTAGAGTCAAGAATCGCAGTGATAGACGGCAGTGATGCCGTGGAGGAAAAACCGAAACCCATTTCCAGCGACAAGGCAGCACAGACGGATAAAGAGATTAAAAATGAAACTGAAGGATCGTTTCTAAAGGATTTTACAGTCAAATCGACGGCTATTCAAACGGACGGCCGAGTTTTCAGAATCGAGAATATCTTTCAAGATCCGAAGAGCAAAAGCTGCGATGACGTGTCTTCCGAGGTAAAGAAAGAGACTGCGATGAAGAAGTTGGTAACTTTTAGAAGTTCCTTAGGCACTTCTTCTGTCATTGAAACAAAAGAAAATGGTACAGAGACCGAATGGAATGGAATATACAATGGTGATGTTTGTCAGCAAACGTGGCCAATTTCAAAAGATAGTTTAACACAAGCTTTCATTATTAAGAAACGTAGCTACAGTTTGAGTCCTAAAAGACCACACAGACTTGCGGACGATAATCTATGGAAAAACTGGACCCTTCCCTGTCCAGAAAGATCGAAATTTATCGACTATAACAGAGAAATAAGGACCACGTCACCTTCTATACAACAAGATATTAATTTAGAATTAGTCGATAATTTATTTTCTTCTCTGATAAACAGCGAATGTTCTTTTGTCGATACAATTCCAGAAAATACAGCTCAGAAATCATGTAATCAAGACTCGAAGGACAACTATAAGAATTTGAAGAAATCAAAGTCTATTTCAATAAAGAACTTATTAAATTACGATTATAATTTTTCGGATGACAGTCTTGATTATGACGACGACAACGTCGCGAAAGAGACAATTGAGATAAAAAAGATGGATTTGCATGATAAAAATTATGAGAGTCTTTGTCCTCCAGATGTCGTTGCACACACGAAGAAAGAAGCTTCGAAATCGATGAATCATGTAGATTCGACTGACGCCGAGTTTTCGACGTCAGTCAGGATAGACGACGATTTTGATGATATTCAGATAGAATTTCCAAAGAGAAAACCTGATGAAGTATCGGAAAAGAATCCACTGCAAGATTACAAGGCGTTGATCCTAGGGACATCATTGCATGTTGTAGATAGTGATTCCGAAGAAGAAGCGAAAACCAAACCGCTTGATAATAGCAAGAAAAAAGTGTCTTTTTTAAATCCCAGTAGTATCGAGGAGATAACTGACGTCGTAACTAATCGTAAAATTCTAGCATCAAAACAAAATTCAGAGGTAGCCTTAAAGCCTATTATAAAGAAGGTGAAGAAGAAGAAGCCAGTTGTAACTGAAAGTTTGGATATCATTCAATCGAATGTCAAAATCGATCAGTCTTTACAGCAGAAAAAGATAAAATCGACGAAGAGCGAAGAAGTTCTGCCTACTTTAAAAAAGAAGAGTGATTCTGAGAACTCTGAAGAATCGCTTAACAACGAGAAGATAAAATTCTCCAACGAAGATCCTCGCAACAAAGTTGTCAAAGACAGTGTCGCCATTGACAAAGACGCTCATTTTCGTACATCATCGAAGAGAAATATTCTTGAAGAGTATCTAAGTGAAGCAATAACTTTCATGCGCAACATGAACTCTATGAACGAGTACATGAGTGCCACAAATATGTTGGAGAACTATGGGAAGCGTAGAAGACGAGGAGGTCGTCGTGGAAATAATCCAAGCACGGATAAAGATTATACAGAGTTTCGAGGGCGCAAAGTGAGCCTGAAGGATGACACCGACAAATACTTGCAGTCGGACAATGATGAAATTGTTGCTATTGAATCTTACGTGAAATGTTTGAAAGGCATCGAAAGATTGGAGGCATGCATCGATAATGTCAATAAGCATAACCAGGTCCTCCGAGACAGATACGGCATCGATGTTGAGTCTGCTGGCGCTAAATTGAGTTTAGCGAGTTCCAGTGTAGACTCTAAGATGTCTAGCATCAGTGACGATGTTATCCATCAATGCGGAAACGCAGTTTCCGAAAATAATGCTGAGAATTGTGATGAATCCAATCTTTCTAGGATTTCCTTACCGCTTTTGTCTTCCACTCGAACTGACGCCGCGAAACAATATACGTCAAATGAGACAGAAAAGTATGACGCTGTTACTAAGATAGATAAACAGGATCTTGACGACAAGAACAACAATATTACTGTGGATGATCTCGAGCGTAAAATCTTCGATCAACTAATGCGCGCGGCTGATCTTAGTAAATGCTGGAGTCTGAAACAATCCCAACAGGAACGCCCCCGGAAAATATCCGATCTTAGGTCGCAAAGCTCGACAACTTACTCCAAGTTACGAGGGACTTTCCAACAGGACGCTCATGGCATCCTTAATTTCGACAAAGTTCCCATCGCCGAGGATTATCTTGACTACATTCGCGGAATTGAGAGTAGCCCATGGGCGTTTAAAAAGACGAAGCCTTTGGATCAAACGAACGATATTAGTTCAAGGACGTCGATCGGTTTTGGAATTGATTCTAAAGCATTTTGCGGCGAAGACAATGATAATTTGTCAGATGTCGACATGTCGAATAAACCGACAATTTTCCAAATAAAGCATCATGATTATCTAACAGACCCTACAAAATCAATCGAAGGAGGATCGCCTTATACAGAAACGGAGATTACGCGGAAATCAAAAGATAATTTAAAAACTGAGTTAACGAACTCCAGATTTGGAGATTCTTTTACTGTGGAATTGAAATATCCCGGTAGTCCAAGAGCAAAATTTTTGGAGCTTTTAAGGGAGAGGAGACGTATCGTAGAAAATAGCAGAGGTACGAGTGCATTTTAAGATCATTCAAACGATATTTCTTCTTAAATGTAAATCTATTTTTCACATATATTTTGTATTTTAACAATTGTGTGTGTGAGAGAGAGAGAGAGGGGGGGGGGGGAGAGAGAGAGAGAGAGAGAGAGAGAGAGAGAGAGAGAGAGAGAGAGAGCAATTATAGTAATCGGTTTAAGTATAAAATATGTTACAAGAAATTTGTAAATAATGACGTAATATTTGCACGCATTTCATATACTCTTAAATTTGATCAAACAAAAAAAACAATTTACTTTTAATAGGTAATTATAATAATAATTGTATCGAATTATATGAAAAGTATTAATGGATCTTAACTTCTTACAATATATATATAATATTTGTTCAGTTTTTACATTTAATATTTAATTTTTTGTTATGAATTTCAAACTTTGCAAATTTTTCTAAAAATATTAATTTAAAGGCCATTAACACTTTTCATATATTATAATTATACATATAATAATTAAATTAATAATATCTTGTACATAATAATAAATAATAAATAATAATGTATATCATTATAGTTTCAAATTAATAATGCACGATTTTCAATTCTACAAATTTTTATACAACTTGTATCATAAAAATATGATAAAATGTTTCAATTAATAATAAGCTAAAGCAATTTAATTTATAAGATTGTATTTAAGAATCGTTATAAATCATCTTTATAAAAGTATGTTAATATTACATATCATAAAATAATAAATATAATTATATATTGTATCATACATAAATATATATATCATTTAATAAAGGTTATTTTATCAAATAATGAATTAAATATTAAATTATTATCTATTATAGTAAAGAGGAATAGCAAAATCTATATATAATAAATATAATTACTCATTCTTTTTCTTTTTTTTTAATACTAATTTATTATTATTATCTGTTTATAATTCAATCAACAGAAATTTATCGATTTGTATATTTAATTTTATCTTCTTTGTAGCATAGTCAACCTTTTCTAACAATAAGTTCAAAATCAAGATCTAGACGCCCAAATGTATAATAAATTTGCCATTACATTATTCGGTACAATTCAATTTTATTATCCGGAATAAACTTGCGGAATATGCCACAAACTCGTCGATTAATATCGTAACGCATTGCAAACTTCATCGATAATAATTTTACGAGGCAAAGAAGCTCGTATTTTGTGTCATGAAACGACAGTTAATAGCCAAAGCGAGCCGCGCTGTTTCAGAAAAGAACTGACGCATGTGCTGCATTTTGTGCAATGCTGAATGTGCCGCGATCCCAACGCCGACAATTGCGATCCTAATAATGTCGAGAGTAGAGCGAAATGCCGCCAGTAGAGCGACAGCTTACAACGACTGTTTCATTTTATTGCGTGATAAATCTCCGATATGCGAAAACTCCCAATGCACTCTGATTCTCCTAGTATGTGTCCATTATTGTTGAATCTCTCATTCAAAAGTATATTTAATTTATAAAAATAATTTTTTTCAGTTATTTTGTCTCTTCAAAAATTTATTTTCTTTTAAATATCAAATATAATATTACGTTTTTCGAGTAAATTAAGTGGTAACAAAGAAAGAGATGAAATTGAAGACTGCACTAATCTTAATTAATCCACGTGATTAATTCTCATAAAAGTGACTGGCAAAATTAAAATAATCATAAATGCAAAGTAAATCGATAATTTTTTCCGTTTATCATAAATTGAGAAACATCATTTTGATTAATATTCTAAACCATTATTATAGCCAGAAAAGACTTATCTAATTTTACTGATTTAGTTTTAGAGTGTTTCTAATTTTAGTTTAGTCTTTAGAGTTCACAATCAGTCATCTTTTATGTATGGATCATCTAATCAAACGTCAGGATCGTCGAAAGATCTTTCTTACTTCGCAAAAATAACACGTCTCGTGATAGAGAAATACACGTGATAATGCGCAATGTCATCGAAACACAGAGACCTAAAATTGTATATAGATCGCGAGACTGATAATTGCGTTTCTAGGCCGTCGCTTTCGCCTCCACATCGATAAAGACCGATCCGATGCATTATGCGCGCGGCACGTTCTGAAAACTACCGTCACGTGTCCCGTTTTCCACTCGTTGTATTTGCCTTTGATGCTGATGCAAGCATAACGATGCTCGTTTACCCCCGCACACCGTATGTGCAGATAACACGGCAAAGCTGGCAGAAAGACACGCGATGCTCGTAGTGAATTTACGCTAAAGGAGCCTTCAGACGATATGGTCAAAGTGTACGCCAACTTTGTGTACACATTCGCTAAATCAGTCTAACATTCAATATACTATAAAAAATGATGTGGATTTAACATTTATTTATAAATTTATTATTATAACACCGTTGCTTAACTATTTTATTATCAACTTAAAATGCTGCACAGTGGCGTTATAAACTTGCGTTAAGAGTTACAGAATAGACCTGCTAGTGTGGTTTTAACACCCACGTGATGTATCTATATAATTCTCATCATATTGATGTTAAATTAAATACCAACATGGTGTAGATTCAAAATCCTTGATATTTATATCAACACTGTCATGGTGTGGATTTAACACCATGGGTGTACAGATTTAAAACCCATGGTGTTAAAACCACACTATGTTGATGTTAATTTAACATTGATATGGTGAGAATTATATAGACGCCACATGACGTTAAGTTCACATCGTTATTTTTTACAGTGTATGAGGATAATGTACGTCACGTGTATTTGTTAATGTTGGTGAATGTTGGCAATAGCGTCTGGAGGCGCCTTCAGTCGAGACTCGTGCAGCTTTTTCTATCTGCATTTTGCAATACGCGAGTTTACACTTGTTCACTTTATATTATACGCTCACGGTGTGACATGTCTGTGCGAATAAATCACGAATTTTCGATTTATTCGCTTGCTATTTTACGAGCGCTGCATCGCGGCGTTGCTTCACTGCCAAAGAATGTCGCGGAACGATCATCCGACGGTTCGCAAATATTGCAAATGCATTCACACGTTTCCGTCATGCGTAACTCAAGTGCCGTGTGTCTACATGTGATGAGAAATAAAATTAAAAATGTCTCGTGAACGCTTAAGGCGTTTTTTGTATATTATGTGTGTGTGTGTGTATATATATACATGCTTCCATGTATTAACTGTTAATCTATTGTATTGAATTTATTGGTTGAAAAATCAACTAAATTAAACATTTTTGGCTACAAATTTGCTCTTGCTTAAAAATATCGAAACGATTTTAGTGAAAACCTATGCAATTATAAAAATCTGCATTGAAATTTGACAAACTAAGTTGTGGATAAAGAGTAAAAAAATATTGTAGGAATTTTAGTAAAAAGTTATGCAATTATAAAATCTGCACTAAAATTTGAAGACCTAAGCTATGGACAAAAGGCAAAAATTTCACATTGCTGGAGAATTAATATTAATTTTTCAGACTCTAATTAATGAGTATAAATCGCAGTATTTATTCTCCATTAATTTTTTTCTCTTTTCATAAATATCGCAGGTAGATTAATTAATTATAGCTAAAATAGAAATGCAGTTCTAAATGAATCAAGTATGCTGTCATAAATTCTTGAAATCACCGAGAACAATTTTATAATCGCGCAACGACGCATGCACATAGATGAATCACGTGCTTCTCGAGAATCCCTGATTAAAATGAAGCAATAAAGAGCGATGCTCGTTCCGTTGTCGCCATGAAGTTATAACATATAAATCCACGACTCAGTCATTCGATCGAACAAAATCCCTGTCGTTGATCCGGAATTTTATGCGACGACACCAGAGCGCTCGCCACGTGGCGTGCCATCGTCATGCTATTTTTCTCTCGTCGCGTTATACGTGAATATGATTGGGTTTTTACGTAAGCTCGACCGGCCGTAAACCTCGCTTTTACGAGTCTGATTACGGAGGAGGGGACCGATATTGCGCTAGTTGTGTCGACGAGCTGCATCCCGAATGAAATTTCGACGCGATGCGTGGCGACGATCAACGACGCGATCAACGATGCAGCAATCAGTTCGATTAACATATCGCGATTTTATCGAATAAATCTAGCCGCGAAATCCGTTAAGTGACTCTATATCTCAATTGATGATCACACGCCATTTGATAAAATATTAAATAATTGCAAGACGATATAATTGCCTAATACATAATAGAGATATAATGTAATATTTGGATATAAAATGACATGAGGTTTTAATGTAATATAATTATTTTTTTGATATAATGTAATCCGTAATGCAATATAATTGAAAAACAACGACAATTTCACTTTTGTCGTAATGTTTTATAATCCATATAAAATTATGTTTCTCAATTTTTAACAAACAATTTAGGTAAATTTATTTTTAATTTACATTTATAATTATTTTAATTTAAATTCTGGTTATTCAAATTTACAGAAAATTTTGGTTATCTAAAATTACAGAAAAAGCGTACTTGCTACAAGTATTAAAATATGAAATGAAATACAAAGAAAAGCACGTAGAAAATCAAGTACATTCATACACGCGTAATAATAGTTATAAAATTTCAGAAATAAGATCTTTTTATGAATTTTTGTTTACAAGAAAATCGATTTTAAAATTACAATAATCTTTAAGAATTTAATTTCAACGACCTTGTGTGTGTGTCAAGTTTTTGTCTAAGTAATTATCAAACATATACAAAAGTACAATATTATATCACAGACATAATAGTGACCGATATTTTATAGATACGTATAACTTTTTCAATAAGATAAGTTTAAAAAATTTATTATATATCACTAAATAGGATGTGCTTTTTATTTACGTGTTAATAATCGTTGTCAAGACGAGCTCGATGACGTACGATATAAAGTCATTGTATATACATGCACGTAGAACACAAGAGTCCATCGATTCCCGAGCACCCTGCGGCAGAGATGGCTAGAGCGCGAACTGGGCAAAGAGAAGGAGAAGGATGGAAGTTGGCGGTCTGAATTTACAGCATTTAATATCGGCAAAATGAAGTATGATCGCGGGAGGAAAGCGCGTAAGGAGCCGCCGTTTTGCGGCATCGATAAATTCATTTTATTGCCGTGGTTT